TTTTATATTTATTTTAATATAATTAAAATTCATGAAATGAGGAGTAATACAATCAAACTTCAAAAATATGAAATGTGATGGTAAGCCTAATGTTGCTGTTTGCAAGCAAGGAAATTCTGGTAAGATTTCTGTAGCTAGCTATCATGAGGTGCTGAGATATAAAAGTGGCAGAGTCCAGAAGCACAAAATTATTTGGAGTAAAGTAGTTATTCCTAAACATGGGTTCATAATATGGATGCCAGTAATGGAAAGACTTAAGACACGTGAGTTGCTAGTACAGAGAGGATTGCCTATGGATAAATCTTCTATTTTATGCAACAGAGGGTATGACCGTATGAGGATATTGAACATCTCTTCTCCTCACGTGCTTTTTGCAAAGAGATGTGGAGTAAAGTGTTAATGTTGTGCTAAATTAATCATGTGCCTATGCAGTGGCAAGAAGAATGGCAGTGGGTACAATCTTAATTATAAAAATACGTGCAATAACTCAATTAAATAAATCGATTACATATATTAAATAAATAATTATAAATTTTTATATTTATTACTTAATTTAACACTTATAAATATATTATTTACTTAATATTTTTACCATTCAAATATGGTACTTACCAAAAGATAATATTCTTGTAACTAGCGTTGCATTGAAGAAGTGAGGAAAGGCTGCTCCCAGGTGAACTAAGACTCCAGCAAGTGACTAGACTTATTAGACCGTATGTGACTAGACTTATTAGACCGTATGTGACAAGACTTATTAGATAGTTGCCCATTAAAATAATTCTACAGTTATCACATTTATTAATCAATAGACTCTGACTCAAGTAAGTGACGAGATTTATTAGATAATTGTCCATTAAAATAATCTCATAGTCCTCACATTTATTAATTAATAGGTGTAAGTGGCGATACTTATTAGACAGTTATCCATTAAAATAATCTCATAGTCCTCACATTTATTAATCGATATACTCTGACTCAAGCAAGTGACGAGACTTATTAGACAGTTGTCTATTAAAATAATCCCACAGTCCTCACATTTGTTAATTGAGAGACTCTGACTCAAGCAAGTGGCGAGACTTATTAGACAGTTGTCCATTAAAATAATCCCATAGTCCTCACATTTGTTAATCGATAGACTCTGATGCAAGTAAGTGGCGAGACTTATTAAACAGTTATCCATTAAAATAATCCCATAGTCCTCACATTTGTCAATCGATAGACTCTGACTCAAGCAAGTGGCGAGACTTATTAGACGGTTGTCCATTAAAATAATCCCATAATCCTCACATTTGTCAATCGATAGACTCTGACTCAAGCAAGTGGCAAGACTTATTAGACAGTTGTCCATTAAAATAATCTCATAGTCCTCACATTTGTCAATCGATAGACTCTGACTCAAGCAAGTGGCGAGACTTATTAGATAGTTGTCCATTAAAATAATCCCATAGTCCTCATATTTATTAATCGATAAACTATGACTTTAGCAAGTGGCGAGACTTATTAGACAGTTATCCATTAAAATAAGATTAAATCTTATTTTGGTCTTTTAACTATTGTATGCACTTTAGATTTAGTCCACCAACTTAAAAAATCTCTAATTTGATATTTCTGTTAAATTTTTGTTAACGTGCCATGTTAGTTAATGGTAGATGCATGTCTTTCCAATAAATGGAATTTACAACGTGGCAAAATACACGATTTGGCAAAAAAATTGACTAAGTAATCTCTAAACAAAATAAAATTACTATATTACCCTTATCTTCAACCTCTAAGTCCCTTCATTTCCTCTCTTCCTTCCCAACACTAGATTTGGGTTCGATGAACCCCATTTCTCTCTCCCTTTTTCCCTTTCTCTTTCATCTTCCTTTCCTGTATGCCTTTTGTTTACAACGTGGCAAAACGCATGATTTGGCAAAAAAATTGTCTAAGTAATC